CCTGCACTAAGCCTTCCAGCTCAGCTATGGGCATATAAGCAGCTCCGTACCTGTGTTAGTCTCTGGTTCCCTTTCTTCTTCCCTAATGAGACTTTCCAACTTGAGGAACCAATCTTCCTTCTGCTGGGCAATGAGTTGGGCAATGAGCCACATCAAAACCTGGCAGAGAGAAGTATTTGTTTGCACAATCCTAATAAGGTTGTCTAATTCTGTGCCAATTGTGTAGGTTTCTCTTTGCTATCCTCTGGAATCTGCCGACTCTCATAATCCTCTCTACCCTGATAGCCACATATGATCCTTCATTACAGCTTTATGTTAGCAGGCATGGAGTCCGTAAACACTCATATTCTGCAGCTGCAGTTTATTCAAAAGGAGGCCGGTGTTGCAAATCACCGGTGGCAGTTTCAGTGTGCTTGCTAATTTGCAAAACTGCACAAAAATAGCTTCTTCTCTTTTTGAGGCATTACCAAAAATGTTTTAAAAAACTAATCTTTGTAAGAAACCATAGAATCAACTGTAAAAAAAATACACCGATCACTTGAATGTATTTGCATGTGAACTTAATTCTCTGTTATCTTTATTTATCACACATTAGTAAGCAAATATATGAACTGTGGTCCTTTCCTTTATTTTTTGCTTTCTTCTCAGGTGCTGCTCAGGAAAAGAATCAAACTGAGCACCACATTCAAATGATACAAGGAAAGTTCCAGTATGAGGTGTTTCAAAAGTCTAGTTCTTGCCACAAAACAGAAATCCATTTTCAAATTTTTGATAGTATTGTTATGCTTCCATATCTTTGCAATCTTTGATTTGTTTGCATTGGTTGTAACCTCACTGATCTTCTATAAAAACAAGTCATTGGATAGTCTTTCATATTCATCCATTTTTTCTTCACATTTCTTCTCATTAAAAATAGAAGTCTTTTCCAAAAGGATTTTTTTAAAAAAAACTTTAGATAACTGAAAGTGTTTATGGTCAGAACATGCTTTCTACTGAATACCCATGTTTTGAATGTATGGCTCTAATATTGGCCTTTGAGCAAAGATGTAGTTTTGCGTGGTCTTCAAGAATTTTCTGCCTTTGAAATAACAGAAAACACTTGTAGCTCAGGTTTTAGATTCTGGCAGTGGTTTGCTCTCCAAGCTTGTTTCAATTTAGTTTCTGAACATTTTGTTACCAAACTAGGTAACATCATTAGCAGGATTTTCTTATCCTCCTTAGCTTATAAATGTCTTCTGTGCCAGTTGGTCGTGTCATTGTTTGTTTGTTTGGAGATATATTTAAATTCTGAGCAGCTGATTGGTTCTCTTATTGGTTGTTTGTTTGAATAGTCTGGTTTCTTACATATTCAAATACCGGATCTACATCAATATGCTTGTTAGTTGCTCCTTTGGTAGAATACCAGGCCTCAATAAATTCATGTGTGTGGTGGGTGATGAGGTAACAAAATGTTCAGAAACTAAATCGAAACAAACTTGGAGAGCAAACCACTGCTAAGATTTCCTACCTTTGCCTAATGCATACATATGGCATTCTTTCAATATTTTCTAAATACGACATTACCAAACTCTCTTCACAAAAATAGTTGTTGATTTTAAATCCAGGGAGTTCAGGACCAGAGACACACATTTGATGGAAATTCACAGCCTTCCCCTAAGATTACTGTTATGCCTTCTGAGACTGGAAACGGACTAAATTGAATGCCTTTCAACAGCTTCTTCACAGCAACTCTTTGCTTTTTTTTTTTTTTTGCTGCATTACTTGCACATTTTGGAGTAGTAGTTATGTTGGCTCTTACTTAACCCTCTTTGAACTATTGGTTACCTTCTCGGATGTATGATGTTTGTTGTGGCATGCTACCTATGGTAAAGACACAGTACTGAAAGTGTTCTTGAGAGAGTTGCTTGCAAATTGTCCAACTCAGCAGAGATAGTTGCTGGTCAATGTCATGGCAAGCTAGAAAGGTAGCTGTATTGCAGGAAGCACAGCACAAAGACAATTTATTTTTATAGTTGTTAAACTAGTGGAAAAAGATGTTTTTATTAGGATGGGGAAGAAAGCAGCTGTTGGACATTTTTGAGTTAAGGGGCTGTTTGCCCTTACAGTGACTGTCTCCTAGTGGCTATCAATCCTGAAAATTCACCACTTGAGCCCAGATACTTAGAATTCAAATACAGGATTACTAGGAATAGATTGTTGAATACCACTTTAATACACATACATAGGAACATGAGATATTTCATCTATGATTAAACATATATAGTTTATGGATTTTTAAAAAACTCATGAGTAGTTTTTAAATATTAATGTGAATTAGGGTAATAGTTGTTTGAAAAGCAGAAGCTATATAGTAGGAAAAGAAATATCTGACTGAAAAATAGCTATTTAGGCAATCTATAGAGAATACATAAAATGACTGATATGTAACTATAGACACGTTATATTTTGAAATAACATTAACATTTTGGAATAAGATTTGCATTTTTTTCAATAGTAGAAAACTACTTTTTGTATTCTTGTTAGGTTGTTTTTCCCCTATTATTTTATTTTGTACTGTAAGGCAATACATATTTGATTTTATCTGGTTATAGATTTCAAAGAAATGAACAACCTGGCTTTGAGAAGTTGTCTTTTTTTATTTTGGTCAGAATATGCCAAAGAATCACAAAGAAAAAACAAAATTATCCTATACCCAGCTATTCTATCATATAGAAAAAAACATTACTGCCATTACTTACCTGGTAGAAAAGAAGAAAGTTAACATCATAAATCCCAGCTGCACTGAAAATACTAAAATGAAAAGCATATTGATGTGAATATGCAATACATTCAAATGTGTGCTTTAAAAATATACTCATTTTCCCATATCAAAAAGCTAATATTCTATAAAGTATTAATACTAATCTTTGTTTCTGATATGGTTGCAAGTAAACAGATCAGGCTCTAATATAATTCCATACCTCACTTTATTTTTTTGTGTTTGAAATTTAGATCTTCCTTCCTTCCTTCCTTCCTTCCTTCCTTCCTTCCTTCCTTCCTTCCTTCCTTCCTTCCCTCCCTCCCTCCCTCCCTCCCTCCCTTCCTTCCAAACTATTCTCACAGGTCAAATTTTACATACAGAAAACAAATCATTCTGTTTATGTAAAAAACAAACCAGGTCAGAATGCTAGTTTATTAATAACACCCAGCACTTGAATTGAAATTTTTCTTTTCACCTCTGGAAAGATGGCAATCTAGAAAATTTTGATATCATTTCATTACTTTAAAGCGTGTCTGTAATTGTAGATCAATATCCATCCCTATTACCTGATTAAGGATAGAGAATGAACTAAGGTACAACAGAATATATATTAGTAAATTAAGAAAACTAAATTGAAGGTAATATTCCTCAATTGGGATTCTTTCCAGATCTCACAGCCCCAGAATTTTCAATAATAGTCTAGATGCACGTATCGGGAGAGAATCTAAGTTGGGGAAATTGATGAAGAAGTCATAGAAGGGTCGCTCTGCATAAAATCAGTATCCTTAGAATTTCTTTTTACTGTGCATGATGCCACTGTGCATGATGCCATTCTATCATCGATGTCATGGGTGTCAAACTCAATTTCATTGAGGGCCATATCAAGGTTGTGTTTGACCTCAGAAGGATGAGTGGGTGTGGCCAGGGTGGGCATGGCCATCTTGACATCCTGCAGCCCTCTGCCAATGAAAATGGAGCTTGGGAGGGCCACGCAGACAGCAGGTTCTGTTTTCGCTGGCAATGGGCTGCGGGAGGCCTCTGCAGCCAAAAACAGAGCTTTCACTGGCAGAGGCACTGTGAGGTGGTCCTCTGCTGTTTCCAGGGGTGCCCCATGGGCCAGACCTAAGCACTCTGTGGGCTGGATCCAGTCTTGAGTTTGACACCCCTGATCTATCTGATATTAGAATCTATACCTGCTATTTGCATGGAAGGCAGCTCTTATCAATATGCTCAGAAATTTATCAACCTTATTTTTTAACAGAACAATTCTTTTCAAAATTATACCTTGTTGTAGTATTTTATCTTATCCCAACAGTGATTTTATTTTTTAAAATGTTTAGTAACAAGGAAATGTTATTAGACAGATAATAAATCAGTCAGTCAATCAGTCAATTAAATAAATAAGAAGGTAACTAGTAATGATTAGTAAAAAAAATACTAGATAATTATAGCTATATAAAATTACACTATTTTTGTAGACTATTTTTGTAGACCAATACACATTTTAATTGAAGTCACTTCATTCTACTGAGGTATTACCAATGTATTTAAAGACACAAACTGGTATTAGGACATTAAAAACCCCAATTAACCTTCCAAAAATGCAATCAGAGACGAAAGTACTAAATAGATGGCTATAGTATTTCTAAATAGTGTTTTAATTGTTTTGTACAATACTGGTCTTTGACCAAAACATGCATGTATATTACTCAGTGTACCTAAGATTCTGGCACCCATACAGAGAAACTCAGTATAGTATATATTTTCCAGATTACTTTGGTCTCCAATTCCTGGAATAAGAATACACAACTCTTTGAAAAATGTCCAAAGCATAAATAGTACTTACTTATAAAAACTATTATGATCAGGCTAAATTTATCAAGGTCAATATTTGGATTAGAGAAAGTATCACAGAATGTTGTATAGATGATCATCAAGAGTACACAACTGCTGATAGCACCAAATGGAGGCTTCTTTCTCTCAAGCCATTCCTTGATGTATCTTCGGACAATCTGAAATACAAGGAAAAGAACCAACAGGTTGCCTCTTTTCAATGCACACAGGGAGCCAAGTTGGGTATCATAAAATGAATCTGACAGTGGAAAGTCATAAAGAGAACAGAATAAATTGGATGACAGCCACAGTGAATTTCAAAGCTTTCCTGCCATATAACACTTCTTCTGGGGAATTTAACATTTGTAGTGCAACTTCCATTGGGCATCCATAATGAGAATATATTTTCAAGTATGTTCAAATCTATCCTTAATCATGCCAAATGTTCTTTGCTAGCTGTCACTGAGACATACCCATTAAGTCTCCCCAAAGTTTATCTCCTATGCTAATACAAATGGATGTATATAATTATCATAATCCCTGTTGAATCCACAAACAATACCAAGTATAACTTTGGGAATCTTAAAAATCTGACATCCTCAGGAAATCCATGAGAGCAGATAATCAAAACTGATCCATGGAACATTTAAATATTTAAGTAGGTAGTAATGCACCAGAAGTTTTAATTAAATTATAACTCATGCTTGAAAAGCAAAAGTGCATGCATTTTGGGAGCTTAAATAATTGAGCATTTAAAGATCTAGATTTTCTGAATCCAAAAACAAATTCCAATTGTATAGTTCTGCAGTTATCAAATTCACACAAGGTAAGTAAATTGACAGTGTTTAATGTAATTGCTCAGATTCAAGACTAGGAAAATAAAATAAAATTAGTTTTTCAATCAGTTTTAATGCTTATTATAATAGTTACAGAATGTTTCGGTAAGTAGACTGATCATTGTGATGTATACCATATTTTAATATAATTAATCACAGTATTTTTCTCAATTATTTGAATAATTGACATAGTTACTTATAAAATAAAATTAAAAACAAATCCCAGTTGGCAGTGAAGAATGTTCATAAACAATATCTAACTCAGAATATCACCACCTAATTCCTGTGTGGAGGAAATCACAAGGTATAAGATTTATCTATACGATTTACACAGAAATAATTAAAGCTCTATATTAGCTTATTCCAATATTCCAGATATTAAGCTGATATCTTGTCATATGTTGTAAAGAACACAACAGACCAAAATGAATTGTCTGTGATCTGAATTTTTTTGGTACTCAAAAAATTGATTACCAAAAAGCTGTGATCTGAATTTTTTGGTAATCAAATTGTAGGACTTTTCAGGATATGTTTAAACAGAATATCCTTGAGACATAACATAGTATTTTCATGCTAAATGGACAGATCATATAACTGCCCTGTATAATATAATATTAATGTTAATTAACATGAGAAAAAAAATAATTATTTTATCTAAATGAGAAAATCCTAAAATAAAATCAAACAATCAGATTTGAAAAAAGAATATTATCTGACTAATTTATCTCGAATATCAAAGGAGTTTTACAGTTTGTTTGGCCAAAACTCTAAATAAATTCATTACAAATTGAATTAATTTGGATGAAGATGAATTTACTAAATTTAGATAGAGATCCTATTAGAAGAATAAATTGAAAATGTGGCAGTCTTGCCCACCTCTTTCCATTTCATTGTTTTTATTAGTTATACCCCATCATTTTAGTGAATAAATATTTGTAGGGAATGAAAGGACAAAGTTATATATTGTAAGGAAATTTATGAGGAAGTTTGTTTGCCAATGTTAAACCTGCCTGTTTTAATTTGATAGAAATCTGATCCTTTTCCTGCTCTCAATATAATCTGGGTTGTTAAAAGGCATTTTACCAAGTATGAAAAAAATAATTTAAGATATCAGTGTTAACAAAAAGGTTAGCATAGAAACTCTAAACCTTTTACTTGAACAAAAGATTTTGCCATGGGATGGGTTAAAATTACTGACGGTCACTGAAGATGGGGAACAAGACATGGATTTCCAAGCCTACATTCTCATTTTTTGGCCAAATTAAATAAAATTACATCAAAATAATATAGAAGTGATACATGAGTCAATTTAAACTGACATATATAACTAAAATGTTATGTTCTGCTTGGAATAACACAGTTTCTTCTGTGGTGGCCAAGGAACAGAAAAGTCTGGTTTGGTATTTAGAGAAATGGGTAAAATTATCAGTCAGTAATCAAGCCAGATTCAAAATAAAATTTGTTAGGAAAATTCACTGGAAAAAAAAAGAAAGAAAATTTAAAGAGTTTGTGATTTATATGTTGATAACATCAATAATGGTAAAAAAAAGTATAAGTAGAGAATTTTATCTTTGAATGAATTATGTAATAGATTCTAGAGTCTATTGCAGCTGAAGAAAAACTCATTTGATATTTTTCAAACAAGACAATCCATATCTTTTTAAAAATAGAGCAAGGCTCTCTTATCTTTCATCAACTAAGAAAAATCTATTGAAAAGAATTCTATGTTTTACTCACACATACAGATATACAGATTTTGATTATCTAATATTTTTCAAGGTATTTAATGTTTTCCAAAATAAGCTGTAGTCTTAGTGTCTACAGTTTAGAACTTTTCTTAGCATAGTTTGTGGTCGCTAGATTGATTAATATATGCTACAAGAAAAAAAAATGGCCTGATGTGAAAGGAAGATGGTCACGCAATCTTGCCAATACCTCTATAACTGACAGGAAATGCCTAAGACAAGACAGTCCCTATTACTCTCAAGTTTCAGCCAAGTCTCTCATCCAGATTTAGCAATGCCGCCAGCAACCAATCAGAATGATAGTGTTTTGGGGCAATTCAAAGAAGACACTGAAACATTTGGTTTGCAAGGGAGAATAATTTTGGAATAAAGATATATTTTAAAATAGTTCATTATGACTGGATTATCTTGTAGTGAGGTTAGCACTGAGAAGCATGGAAGTTCCAGCCTTCTCCATATTTGGGAGTGGTGGACTGTTGGAAGCAATGTTTGTGGAACCTGATCTCAAATTCAATACAAGCAGCGAAAATAGGCCTGTATTGATTTTTTTACTTTCTTGCTCCTACTCCCTGAAATCTCAATGAAGATTAAAATGCTTTGGCTTTGACTTCTGGATTGCTTACTCTTCTGTGTTTCTGTCTCTGGCTATAAGTGATCCCCCTTGTCATTAGATCCCAGAAGTCCAACATTTTTGACACAAAATATGTTCCTTCTCACTGGCCACTATCTCACAGTTTCCCACCACTTCCCAGGACAACCCTCTCATACTGGCTTTATTGCTTTGTCTAAAAAGCTGGAATCTAAAATTTTATCCTGGGCCTTGCCCTTTTGGACCTTAAACAGATAGAGAAAAATGTAATTCAAAACAGCCATTACTTTATTCATGTAAAACAGTAGGATATTTCTCTCCAGAATGTGGGAAATCTGTCTTGAAGAAGAATGTTAAAAAAAACAAGCCTTTGTAAGCTGCATATGAGTTACAAGGAAAATATTTCCAAGATTTAGAATATGGAAAAGGTATTGTGTAATCCTTAGCATCTTTAGATTCCATCTTCCCTCCCTTGATTTTTTCCCGATAAAAAAACAGCCAACATCTCCTCCTGTAATGGGCAACACTTTTGACATTTTTTTCTTTTATTCATAATACTTTCTGCAAGTACTGTATGGAGGCAGTGCATTTTCCACCAGAGGGATTTCCTTGCTGATCTCCCCGTGTTTAACTTTGATTGTCCATTTTTGTCTGAAAACAATGACAATCAATCTTTTCCCCTTCCACAAATATTTAACATCTTCCTTCTAGTCTATGGTGTTATATTTGACGTATTCTTTACACCAATTTTTTCTTTATTCCCCAGTATATACCCATCAACATTCAATTGGATTTTGGTAACAGTATACTACCAAACTTGCTATTGATTTGGAAGAGTTCTGGTGTGCAAATTTATAGTTATCATCTTAAGATTCATGTACAAAAGATCTCCACCCAAAAACATACAACCACCTGGAAGACAATTTGGGAGCACTGAGTATTGTAAAAGAATTCTCTGTCTTCTCACATATTTCAATGCCTTCAAGCTTCTTTCCCTCACATAATAGGAAAAGAAAATGATTAGGTTCATATAAAGACCAAATATGTGTGTACACTTGTATATAGAGGAAAGCAGAGGAACATGGAGAAAATTCTAATCCTGGTCTACTTGCCTCTAGTCTGTATCTACAATGAGTTGTTCAAAGAGAATTTAGTCCTTGACATCCCAAAAACTTCATATTTATCTACAGGATCATAACAGAAAACCATTTTTAAAAATAGGCAGCCTGAGAAGTAAATGAAGAAACCAGAAATATTATTTTGCATTAAGAAAAAATACAAATATTAATTCCACATTTCCAAACTCAAACTCTCATAATTTGAAGCCTTAATGCACAACACTGTTGGGTGCCTTAAACACTTTGTATAAGTATAGTATTTCCTCATGCAATATGCATTGCTTAAAATGGTTCTTCTATAGTAAAACATTATGCTATAAAGATACCTAACAAATTTGGATAGATGATAGCCAGACAAACAGACAGAAAGACAATAGAGAGATCTCACAGATACTCATAAAAATAATTCCAGATGCTGTTTCCAAATGTTTGAAGCAATGGAATGTATGTTTAAGGCCTAATTGCTAGGTGGAAATGGGACTGAGAAGAGGTCACCACAGACCAGATGTAGACAATTTTGTATAAGCAATATACTTTTTGATTCAACACAAGGTTCTCTTAGGAGTCCTGAGCATCTGCTTCTGACCCTGCTACTTTCTAAGAGAGATAAAATCTCTAGAGACTTCCTATCTCTGGATTTAGAGGTTGGAGCCAGGTCTGAGGTAAGAGATAAGGGGAAAAGGCAAAAACCAAAGTTAACAAATAAAACAGTGCTGCTTCCTATTTAAAAAAAAAGTCTGGGAGGGAACTGAAAGGATAGATGACTGGATCACATTAAACAAGAATTATTTACCTTGAAAACAATGTTGGACAGAAGTTTGAAAAGGAAATGAAGGTTTTAAAGATTCAGTGCCCTGCCTATGGGGTTTTCAATTGCAGAAATAATTAACA